AATTACTTCTTATAATTTTCATGGTATAACAATGACAGAGAGTAAATAAAGTGAGAGGGTATCTTGAACACGGTGTTTACATCTTGTCATCAGTCATTCGATTCTACATACTATCATCAATGGACACGGCCTTTGACCCCCGTGAACCAAGAAACTAGTAAGGATCAGCAACACGACGAGTATGTGTTCACATGCATCACTGTCAATTGAGGTCATCGAGTTTCTGGCCTGGGAATCTGGCTGACCGATGGTGGTCATCTGGTTCATGTGTTTACACCGGAGAGAACATGCCGGTGGAACATCTCAGCATAAGAAATGGCATTAGCGAAATAGAAAATGGAACAAATACAGTACACGTTACATTAATTTGGGCAAAACCGTCTGAAGTGCAATCGTCCTTCTGAATAAACTAACAGATCGTAATAAACTAACATCCAAGGCCTCAGCAAAGCTTTCAAAAAACATTGTGGGGGACATCCAAATTTGACGCGTCAGTGACAAAGGTGATGTCCGATGCAATTCCCTATTTGACTTGTACCATATGTTACCCATTTTTTTCAAGAGAACAATTGACTTGCCTTTGCATGTATTTGTGACGGGTTGTCAGGACTAACAGGGTTTTACTGTATGTGAGTCAGTGAATTGGCTATGTCAATGTATTTGTATGAATACACACTGCCATTTAGAAAGTGGTCAAATGTAACAACTTAATGTTTGAGATAACACTTCCTAGTAAAGCACAAATTATAAAACTTGTTTTAGTCCAATCAGGGATTCGACCCCACACTCTCAGAGTGAGGCACCTAATCGCCAGCACACAAAGTCCGCGTTCTAAACTACTCAGCCACCAAGGCGTCCACAAAAAAATGAAAGTCTGACAACTGGTATTCAAGATCATGTACTTTGTGTACCCCTCTGATAAATGTAAATTGACACGGCTCCCATGGCCGAAAGCTATCATTAGAAAGTTGGATTAGAAAGTTGTCAAATGTAACAAATGTAAGTAAAGCACAGTTTGGTACCTCACTCTGATAGTGTGGGTTGGAATCCCGGACGGGACTCAACCCCAACAGTACTGGAATTTGTACTTCACTAAGAAAGTGCATATGTATTGGATGACCATCCGATAAATCCACCATAAACTGAAATGTATGTGCGTAACTCGGCCCATGCTAGTTGTGCATGGTGTTCACTAAGCAGAAACAATGATTTACTTAATTGTGATAATCGCCGGGCCGACTGGTCTGACAACACACATTTGTTCATCTATGTCACCTCAGACGGTGTTTTGATTGTCGATCCTTTTTCTAGGAAAACATAAGGAAGAGAATCGATCATACCCTGAAAAGTTGAATCAAATTATCTCCCGAAATATCATGGTTCAACTTGTGAGATTGAAAGAAAACATATTTTATAAAAATAAGTTTCGAGTGAACATTATTTGATTTGATTTACCATTGTATACTAACAACATTTACGTGTATTCTTCCATCATAACGAAATCAGAAATACCTTGGCATTTAGGAGAGTATTTTCATTGCCACTCATATATTTAATCAGATACTGAAGCTGACAATTAATTTGTCATGGCCCCTTAGGATAGGAAAGAAAATCCGTGGTTTTCTAAGATCAAATCTGGTTTCTTTCCGTTTATTCCCCATCTGTATGTAACTCTTTGTATACTAAAGCGAGTACACCAGTATGTAGAGATACGCTCGTAGCTATGACTACAAGGTGGCAAATAGGTAGAAGATGGCTTTTCAACTGAGACAGCTTCAGTTGGCAGATTTATGACCCTATAAAAGTATGCTATATGAGAAGTGGCATAAGGCAAAAACTTGTTATTTGTGTAATTTTGTTTTGGAACCCACCTTACATTCTTTGTGCTGTTTTGGTGAGTTTTATATCGTATTTCTTTCTGAATATTGGAAACATGAAATGGAAAACAATTAGCTAGCAACAAAGTTTCTTGTGTCGATATCAAACAACGTACGTGACGCTACTTCAGTCAGATTCCGACGAGGTAAGTAGTTTTTGACGGTTTCAGTAATACTGAACGTAAATCAATCATTACTTCTTGACATGTGTCCCTTCGTGTGAAGTAATTTGTCATCATTAATTGTGGTAATCACACAGTCATAACACATATCACCGAAATCCTCATCGAGTGTTAGCTTGCTTAGAAGGACTAAATATGTTTTTTTCACAACACGTTATCAAAGAAAGATGTATATTTATCTGATTTCGACTTCAATTTCTACTACCACGAAGTATATGTACAGACAATGCTGTCAAATAGAAATTGATATTACACAATAATCAAATTTGGAACTTCAAATTCGAGTACGAGATTGACCTTATCTTAAACAATAAATCAGATGACCCTTCCATCAGCCTGGCAAAATAGATGTCAATCGAACAATTGTCTAGCACTGTTACAGGACACTGACATAATTACCACAAATTGAACTGTATATCATTGTTACATTTCACTTAACCAGTTACAAAATAAATAGTCGCCGACAGTCTGACGAAATGTCAGATGTCAATCATGACTTGGCAGTCGAGCATCAGTCTACCACTGTTACAAGACGCAGAAATAATTTCCACCAACTGTAATGGATATCAGTGGTAGATGACACTAAAACAATAACCACAAACTGAAGTGAATGAAATTATTGTTAGATGACACTGAAACTATAACCACAACTGAAGTGAATATATGTTAGATGGCACTGAAACAATAACCACAAAATGAACTGAATATAATTGTTTGATCACACTTTAACAAGCATTACAATCAGACATTTACTAAAACCTGCAATTTACACAACTTTACATGATATTCATACAGTATGTACAAACTCAAAAGTAACATTGTTACATTGCACTTAAGCTGTTACCACAAACTGAAATATTCATCATTGTTTATGGATGCAGCGAGAAAGAAATTTGTTCTGTCTGATAATACTTTTGCAACTTTCGGCAAGGAATTAATTGTTATTCAACCATATATACGTATTAGGAAACGTATACTAGTCCTTCAAACACATCCTGGTCTTTTCGCATCTTATGGTAAAGCAAAAATACATATACCTATGATAACATTGTTTATTATTATCTACGATATGATTTGACGTTATGACTCATATGTCTACGAATGACAAATTATTCTGTCTTAAACAAAAACGATCGATCGTCATGTGAAAGTCTTCAGCAATTCCAGACAATCCCATATTTGTTCAAAACGCCATGTAACTTATATAAACCTCTGTAGTTCCGCATAACTCGGCATGTAGTGGCTTCTCTATTGACGTCTGACGTCACGCTCCTGGGAGGCAAACGGACAGGGACTGGCGCTGCAATGACGCGTGGTTTTAGGCGAACCTGGGAAAAAATAGAAAACAATTATAAATCATGAATAAAATCTTTGTATTAGCATATTTTAAACATGTACCAGGATGTCTGTCATAAGTTTGAAAGGGGATGGTATTTATTAACACATTTACATGGAATATATCTAACTGTATCTACATCTTTACGCGTGTGTGTGCACGCATCAAACATGTTAGTCATTCCTCTTATCCTGACGCATTTCTTGTAAAACACATTATTTTAAATATTTATAGTTTGTATACTTTATTTCTCGACATACGTGTTCCGAAGCATAAAAAGCTTCGTTCTCAGGTATTCTCTTTAAATAGAAACTCGTCCAGGCTACAGTGGTAGAAGTAATTCCAAGAAGACAAAAATAATTGTTTGACGTGTTATGACATACATAATAAAGTAGCTGTATGACAACATACACGAAAAATGACATGAGATGTCTCAATGTTCGTATACTTTCAGAAGCGGCGTTAAACCCAATTCACCCACTCGCTTACTCACTCGTATACTTTTAGACAAGTTTCAAGGAAAGGGTGAACTATTTGACAAGGTTTTTTTTCAGTTTGATGGATTGGCGGTGAGTGTATTTGCTGAGGTTACTAAGTGCATACCGTCAGATGCAACTAACTGAACGTCTCTCAACACACGCGCCTAAGCGGATACACAACATCTGATACGTGCATCGGTTAAATAGGATGAACAAAGCAAAGACATATATGATGTCATTAACACTGTGACGTCACAGTTTTGATAGATTATGCGATTGCTGCACAACCAAAACACACGCCTACATGTATAAATTAATTAACATTCCATTTGAACATTACTAACCTTATTCCTTAAGTCGCGATCGTTGTGTTCATTCATGGTTTAATTTTGCTTTCATTTTTTAAAATATGTTATTAATATACTTATTTAAGGCCAGAAAAGGTTGTTTAAAGAACCGCTTCAATTACAAATGCAAACGAAGAACAAAAACACAAGGTAGTAGTAAACCCGCATCTCGTCAACAGCCCTAACTTGCCCCATGGAGCCGTTCAACGTTCAATGTAGTTAAAAATTATTCTTTTAGTTTTTAGTCTCCACCCCACCCCGTCCCTATACACACATATTGTTAAAGTTCACTGTGAAAATGTTTACGTCCTCAAAAAGATGTTTTTGTCAAGCGAATCCATGTTCGCAATCATTTATAAAGGGGGTGATGCGCCAGAGCCTTGGAGTATGATTGCTTCTTCCCTCGTTATTATACCTAATAAGATGGAGAAGGTGTTTATAAGAACTGTTACTTATTAAAGTAAACTGCCAATGACCTCAAAGTATATTTTCGGATAATAGAAAAATTGGTGACAGGCTAATCCACCCACTCTATCCCAAACTTACGAAATTATATTTTTCACTCCACATTGAACTTCTCAACACGAAATAAAGTTCTTTGTAGCAATTGTTTCTTTTTACTGACTGTCTTTGAAGAAACATTTTGTATATCATCAAACTGACATGAATATTAAAAGACTTATATTATTCATGTATGCCATACAAATATTCTTACGTAATGGCAGACCATACAGATCCTCTATCAACAGTTTTTAATAATGACCTGTCTACTATTTCAGCCCGATGACCTAGTAAGATGCCCTACACAGATGACCTCTGCTCCTTGGAGGTACTAGATGAAGAAACTATTCTTGAAACCCTCAGACACAGATATGAAAAGGATAGATACTATGTAAGTAAAATGTAGTTTGCATTTTAATGATAAGACGTCCTCCCATGTAACCATATAAGAGGATGAGGATCAATACTACCAAACACCATAAAGAAAGAAAGTCATTATTTGCGTAATGAAGGCACTTCTACGTATAAAATGTATTACATTTTAAGACTTATGGACCGACCATTTGATATTCTGGTGGGAGGAATGGGATTTTATCCCAAAAAATAAATTGTCCCCGAAAATGCCTGAAAAACATATTTATGCTTCAGATGGCTAAAAAAGGGAAGAAATTGCCTGCCACAAAAACACATAGTCGAAAGGTGTTTTTCTTTAAAAAATCATGCTCAAAGTTTTAAATAATAATATATCTGGTTTAGTAACTGAAGCTGAAAATAAATATCCACTCTCGATACAAAATCCCAGCCCCCTCCGCCTTCCCCCATATCAAATGGTCGGTCCCTTTGAGGCGAGGGACTAATCTCCCAACGCTTCTTTATGCTCTAGCCTCGTGTGTCTTAGCATGTGTATTCTCTTATCTTGTGAATGAACCTGTTTTTGGAGATTACTGCTCGAGCGTCTGTCAGATACCATTTATCTAACGAGTTGTAAGATAAATGGTATTTGACAAGCACGTATGCAGTAATGTATCTCACACACCTAAAACCGCACCATTTTAGCATCGAATCGATGCATATGTTGTATATTCTCATGATCACAGTGGCGTATTAATACATAATACAACGGTGATGACTGTTGTCATCCGGCTTACTGCTTACTACACGTAGTGTGACCCTCCGCACAAAAACGTTTCAGCAATATCTGTGGATTATATAAGGACATTTATCAAACATTGCAAAACCATACCGTTTCAAAACAGACGTAAGTGAATTCGACTGAGAAAATTATCAACGAATTACAATCAGAAACGTAGTCCGTCATAATCTGGTGTTAGGTCATCACCATGGAGTAGCCAATCACGGACCTGGAAATCGATCTCACACATGTTTGATACTAGTAACTATATAATCACTCACAAGATGTGTAAGAAGGTTTTAGGTGGGAGTCATGTCCAGAAACACACAGGTCTTAGATGTTGAGCACTTTGGTAAAACCCACACCACCCAGGGATCATAACCGTGGGGAATATGTGAGTCTGTCCTTGACGATCTGTAATGTATAACACATCAAAATAACGAGTTATTATTACCCTATGTATTAATGTTGTCTATCCTAACACACATGTTCGCATTCAGTAGCTTCTTTCTTGTTCATTTCCAGACATACATCGGGGATATTCTTATTGCCTTCAACCCTTGCAAGCCTCTGAATGTATTCAGCGAAAAGGTAATTATTCTCCACGAGAGCGTAACAAGTACGCCCTTGACACGAAAACACAACATTCTTATTTTTGTTGATGTTTTATGTCCATGGTTTATGAATAAAGTTGACAAATATAAATGTTGTCCCATAGACGTTTTCATTTTGAAGCCATCAGAGAGGAAATGACCAACATTTGTGTGATGTTTAAAGGAGCATTCCTCATGTGTGGACTATATGTAAAGCGCCGTTAAACAACAAACAAACAAACAAAACTACGTGTATATTTACGGTACGGATAATCAGTTCAGTGAGTAAATCGTGCGTGACATCGCCAATTTTCACGTTTAGCTCATGACTCCATGAGACTCCAACATGCCATTGACTTTGAAGACCACTGTGACGTCATCGGTTACAATCACGTCACAATGAAATGATTTCACTAACCTCTTTGCCACTGAAGCTTGTTAGCTATATTTTGTACACACAAGAATCTGCTTATTACAGTTTATGAACTGAAAAAGTTGAAAGATTGATTTTGGATGATAAATAGAATCCTACCCTCATGTCTTTTTATATCAAATAGATCAACACGAGTCGATAAGTTGGTTGCTGAGGAGTTTAAAACTTTTATCGACCCGTGTTGATATATTTGATATCAAAGACACGTAAGTTTCTCTATGTACTATGAAGACTGTAAAGTCCTTCTGTTTAAGAACATGAAACCCTATGGTTCCCTACTAAATCCTTTTCGACAGTGGGGGCACATATCTGCACACCACTTGTTTCGAAGTATGGACAACTATTGGAGAATTGAAGCTACTATTTGACTCTTTGTGTATTATGCCCAGAATAACACACAATTTCTTTCTCAACAGCACCACAATAACTACAAAAATGTTCTGTCACGCATGTCCAAACCACCTCACCTGTTCTGGGTGGCTGACCGGGCCTACAGAAACATGGTGGACTCTGGTCAAAACCAGTGCATCCTGGTCAGTGGAGAGTCCGGTGCTGGGAAGACGGAGTCCACTAAATACATCATCCGGCACCTGATGCACGTCAGCCCAAGTGTAGACAAACAACTCCTGGATAAGATAGTGAAGGTTTGTATAACTCTTATTACCATTACCAGCATTGCAAGAAACCAGAAGTAGATATCAATAACGTCGTAAGTTTTCTTACATGTGAAGAAAGTAAAACGAGGTCCGTGTTTAACACCCAGAAAACCACTTGGATCTTTTGTCTGTGAAAGGAATGTTACCATGCACGGATGAACCCATTAACCATCGACACTTTCATCAGAGCTTTTGTATGTGACATATATGCAAAATAAAGCAGATATCAGAACTCGCATCAACACTACCAATATATATGCCGACTTTATGTGCAATCATTACTTTGGAGTGAGTGAGTTGGGTTTAACGCCGCTTTTATCGGTATTCCAGTTACAACACGGCGTGCTCTCATTAATTGAAACCGACATTGGTTGAATGTGAATATGACAATATCTTAGTGTTATTTTCTTATATATCAGAATAATGCTCATTGTATTTAAGTTATGCCCAGATTATATATATATGTGACCAGATCTTGACCACAATTGCAGGTGAATCCACTTCTGGAGGCTTTTGGGAACGCTGCCACCAAGATGAACAACAACTCCAGCCGCTTCGGGAAATTCATCGAGCTGCATTACAATGATCATGGAACTCTACTCGGAGGTAAATTGTACAACCTCGGGATCATACGGTTGGCCCAGTGGTCTGTGCGCAGTGTTATCGTCACCGGCCAGGATTTTTTGTTATAAACGTCTACAATCCTGCTTCCGTCTCTCCCTCATGCCTCGAGTAACAACATGTCGACTAAATGTGTTTTTCACTATTGAACTTCACTAGCTTTGGAATGTCTGACATCGTTATCGTTATTTTGTTTCAGCTAAAATAGATGACTACATTCTGGAGAAGTCCCGAGTTGTTCACCGCTCTGCGGGTGAGAAGAACTTCCACATCTTCTACGCTCTGTTTGCCGGGATGTCCCGGGACCGCCTCCTGTACTACTTCCTGGAGGATCCAGACTCACACAGGTGACCACACCCAGTCCTACATCACACCCACACTCACACAGGTCAACACACCCGCTCACACAGGTGAACACACCCAGTCCTACATTACACCCGCACTCACATAGGTGACCACACCCAGTCCTATATTACACCCGCACTCACACAGGTGACCACACCCAGTCCTACATCACACCCACACTCACACAGGTGACCACACCCAGTCCTACATCACAACCACACTCACACAGGTGACCACACCCAGTCCTACTTCACACCTATACTCACACAGGTGACCACACCCAGTCCTAGATCACACCCACACTCACACAGGTGACCACACCCAGTCCTACATCACACCCACACTCACACAGATGACCACACCCAGTCCTAGATCACACTAACACTCACACAGGTGATCACACCCAGTGACCACACCCAATCCTACATCACACCCAACTCAAACATGTTTAATATATTTCATTATTCCGAAAAATAGTTCTCCGCATAAGTACCGAAGGTTATATTCTTCATTCCACAAATCACACACTTCACGATATAATTACTTTCTTTGAAATCCTAGAAAGAATCATGACCTTACATTTCGCATTGTTTCTACATATTACATCATACACGTACATGTGCCCGAATAACTAAATGATGCATGATACTTTTATACTGACATTTTAGAAAATACATTTACCTCGAAAAAAGAATTATAATATTTCTCACTATTGTTTCTGAATATGTCACCATATGTGCCGAAATCACTTAATAATGCATGATACCTAAAGGTTGACTTCTGTACAATTTAACCCGTGAATATCCGGGGTAGAATAGGTCTTCAGCAACACGTGCTTGCCGTAAAAGGCGACTATGCTTGTAAGAGGCGACTAACGGAATCGGGTGGTCAGACTCGCTGTCTTGGCTGATGCATGTCACGGTATCTCAATTGCATGGATCGATGCTCATGATGTCAATCACTGGATTGTCTGGTCCATATTCGATTATTTACAGACCGCAGTCATATATCTCGAATATTGCTGAGTGCGGCGTTAAACAACAAACAGAAAAACAAACCATACAATTTACCTCGTAGCAAGCATAATAATACTTGATATAATTGATTTAATTGATATTGCCCGGATAAATTACTGAATGATACATGAGAGCTTATTTATTTTACCATACATCTTCATTGGCATTCACACAAATGATCCTAGAAACACTACGTTCTCGTTGAGTATATCATCGTTCAGTACACGGTTACAAGGAAACCCACCTTCACTTGTGCCTTGTGATTGACACAATGTATGATCAGCAGAGTACATCAGTTCCACCTTCTTGTCCTCCAGAATCATGCGAGATGCTGACCCCACCAAGAGTGTGTACGAGACCCCCGAGGAGTTCCAGCACTACCAGAGGATGTTTGGGGACCTCACCTGCCTCATGTTCCAGATCGGATTCACAGAAGAGGTAGACACATTCAGTTGTTTTGTCGCACGTATTGTCAAATCAACAAACCAATCAATGAAAATGGCTGGGTAATACTTATGGTGCTCTTGAACTTCAACGTCATATGTGGATTTCGTTTGCTGGGAACAGTCGGTGGTATAGTCTAGTCAAGCGGAAATATCTGCTTCTCTAAGTGGTATTACTTGTTTATTCTTCGTTTCCTCAGTCGTAAAAGGGCGGTCGGGTAGCCTAGTGGTTAAAGCGTTCGCTCGTCACGCCGAAGACCCGGGTTCAATTCCCGACATGGGTACAATGTGTGAAGCTCATTTCTGGTGTTCCCCGCCGTGATGTTCCTGGAATATTACTCAAAGCGACCTAACACCATACTCACTCACTCACCCACTGACTGTCGTAATATTGCTGTAATGTTGCGAAAAGCTAAAAGTAGTGAAGTCCACAAAACAACATTTTAGGCAAAACACGAAACCCTATATTTCCTTGTATACACCGTTGTCTTTCAAGGTGACGCGCTTGATGCTTCATGTGGCAAACTTTACACGATTAGTCCCTTGATGGGTGTGGAAAAGGATCATATTGTGATTATTCGATTCAATAAAACATTTTGTAATTCTAATCTGTGACAGCATTTGACGGTGATCTACATCATCCTGGCTTCCATCTTGCACTTGGCCAACATCGTCTTCCTTCCCTGTGAGGACACGGATGGCGTAACAGTAGCGGATGAGTACCCACTTGCGGCAGTCGTAAAACTACTCGGCATCGAAAACGAAATGTCCCTCACAGAAGCTCTTATCTCTAACGTCAACACCATCAAAGGTAATTTCCAGTTTCTTGTTTCGATTAAGTGTGTATAGGGGGAGAGGGTGTCGTTTATTCCAACGGACATATATTGATCTATCAACAAGATTTGTCTATTTGATAAATGTTTCTCTTTTGTGGTCATGTCGACATGGACCGTTTTTAACACTTACCACCCTGGCTTCCAGGCGAAAGAATCCAAAGCTGGAAAACCCTGAGGGAAGCTAACGACGGACGGGATGCCCTTTCCAAGGAATTGTATGCCAGGCTGTTTGGCTGGATTGTCGGTCAAGTCAACAGGAATCTGTGGCCGGAAAACTCGGAAGAACTAAAGTAAGTGTCTGAGTGACCAAGATGACACCCACTGCCAGGACCCACCTGTGTCCGAGTGACCAGGTGACACACACACTGTCAGGACCCACCTGTGTCCGAGTGACCTGAAACAAAAATATCTATACTTACGTATTATTACCCCTGAATGCACGTTTTACATATAGCAATGTCATTTTCATACTTACAGTTTGAACAACGTGCTATAAATGTGTATCACTTACAGACTTGTCCGAGGGCCCTCCATCGGTCTGCTAGACATGTCAGGGTTTGAGAACTTCCACAGTAACTGTTTCGACCAGTTCCTCATCAACATCTCCAACGAGCGTCTGCAGCAGTACTTCATGGACTACATCTTCCCCCGGGAACAGAAGGAGTATGAGCTGGAGGGCGTGGAGTGGGCAGACATAAACTACAGGTCCAACGATGGGGTGCTGGACCTCGTCTTTTCGGTACGTGCCTTCTAGATGTTGCTCTCAACTCTCTGAGTACTGAACTATACCCATACAAAACGAACATGTGTTGGTTCATAATTTGTTATTAGCTATCACTGTCCCTTATCGTTACGTGTCATTTAGAAGCTGTAGTGCCAATGAAGACACAGTTGACATCAATGCATTCAGTACAGATGCTGGTACCTTTATCAATCAGGTCACTGACACTTGTACCGAAACGACTTTGTTTTTGTCTCGATAAGGAACGTAACCGACACTCATTGATGTTTGTATATGGTCTCTGCAGCTATTGAACTTAAATCATTAAACGGTCTAAGGTCTTCAGTTTGTTCATACGTTCTACTATTCATTTACAGCGCCCTCATGGCATTTTGTCTCTACTGGACGAGGAGTCGCACTTCCCCCAGTCAACAGACTCAACGTTTGTTCACAAACTCAACAAGTACTGCTCCAAGAGTGACCGCTACCTACCCTTGAGGTCACAAGTTGGGTTCGGTATACAGCATTACGCAGAGAAGGTACATCCATGTGATAGTGTTGAGTTGTATAACCCTGATATGCCATTGGACTGTAATATGATGCTTTGTTTAGAGACTGTACGATCGCACGTATGGTCTGATCGAATCCTTAGTGGCATCTTATAATTGTCATATAAAAAGCATAAACTTCACAAAATAAGAGTCACAAATTCACAGAAATCATTCACTGCACCAGGGCCTCGTTTCATAATTTACAAAAGCAGTCAAAGCGACTTAAAATCAGATAGTTTAACGCAGGACAGTCGCAACGCTACGGTCGCTCTATGAAACATGGCCCAAATGTGTAGTCATATTCATTTATCTCTCATTTGAAGAATAAACATAATCTAAACTACACGGGGAATTTACAGAAATGTCGAATAATGTAAACGTAAAAGTTAACAACAGGTGTTCTTTATACGGACAACGATGTCCTGCCTCACAGGTAGCGTCTTAAAGAACCGCCAAGGTCACACAACAGTCTTTGACAATTGAGCAGATTTTGATGTATCACGTGCTATCTCATAAATACCACATGCTTTCTTCCGCTTTAGTATTTGCTTCACGTATAATTTTCACATAGCTTTCATATAAGATCTCTGTTGGGTAAATTTTTCAGGACATAAAATTGTTTTTAAAAGTAGGTTAACGCCCTAATGCAAACGTTTATCCACGGCTTCAGCAGGGTATGTTCTATATACCTGAAGCAACCATTTTGTTGTTGCTGTTGTGGATACATAAGACAGCCTCGGTCAGCACTCTTACAATTTGGTCATCTTTGCTTTACAACTTTGCTTTAAATCCCTTGTTTTAAAAAAAAAATGTTTATTACATTGCTTATGTTACACAGACAACATAAACGTCGAGAATCCTCAGTTGGTTGTTGTGCACTATTCAGGAAAATTGTTTTTATTCGTTATTAATTTTGCGTACATAATTACTTTCTATTCCAAGTAGGATTGGCATTTGAAGAACTAAGATTAACAAGATAGCATGTTTACTGACGACCATTCATTTAGTTTATGTGGAAACTATTTTGTCATGCGGAAACTCTTTCTTGCTCATTTGAAACATTTTATGTTTCTGACCAGAGCACCATGTCATAATTGGACTACAAGGAGGTGTAGAGGTGTAGAGGTGTAGAGGTGTAGAGGTTTTACGTAATTGTTTTCATCGAAATCGTGTTTTCTTTCATCTATGTTGTATTTTCAGGTGGTAAAATAATAACTGGTTTCATCTGTGTATTTCCAGGTGATGTACGACGCAAATGGTTTTCTTGAACGTAACCGTGACAACCTAAGCCAGGACCTGATGCTGTGCCTTCAGCAGAGCAACAACGACTTTGTCAAGGACCTCTTCATGGCGTCTCTCTCTGCCACAGGGACCATCTCACAGTAAGATACAGTATACATAATGTCTTCCCTGACAGGGACCGTCTTAGAGTAAACTAAGTATATATAATGTCTTCCCTGCCAGGGACCGTCTTAGAGTAAACTACAGTATATATAATGTCTTCCCTGCCAGGGATCGTCTCGCAGTAAGATACAGTATACATAATGTCCTCCCTGTCAGGGACCGTCTCACCGTAAACTACAATATACATAATGTCTTCCCTGCCAGGGACCGTCTCACAGTAAGATACAGTATACATAATGTCCTCCCGTCAGGGACCGTCTCACAGTAAACTACAATATACATAATGTCTTTCCCGCCAGTGACCATCTCACAGTAAGATACAGTATACATAATGTCTTTCCCGTCAGGGACCATCTCAGAGTAAGCCACATTATACATAATGTCTTTCCCGTTAGGGATCATCTCAGAGTAAGCCACATTATACATAATGTCTTTCCCGCCAGGGACCGTCTCAGAGTGCGCAACATTATACATAATGTCTTTCCCGTCAGGGACCATCTCAGTGTAAGCCACATTATACATAATGTCTTTCCCGTCAGGGACCATCTCAGTGTAAGCCACATTATACATAATGTCTTTCCCGTCAGGGACCGTCTCAGAGTAAGCCACATTATACATAATGTCTTTCCCGCCAGGGATCATCTCAGTGTAAGCCACATTATACATAATGACTTTCCCGTTAGGGACCATCTCAGGGTAAGCCACATTATACATAATGTCTTTCCTGTAAGGGACCGTCTCTAAATAGGTTACAGTTTACATAATGTCTTCCCCGTCAGGGACCATCCCAGAGTAAGCAACAGTATACATAATGTCTTCCCTGTCAGGGACCGTCTCTAAATAAGTTACATTTTACATGATGTCTTTCCCGTTAGGGACCATCTCAGAGTAAGCCACATTATACATTATGTCTTTCCCGTCAGGGACCATCTCAGAGTAAGCCACATTATACATAATGTCTTTCCTGTAAGGGACCGTCTCTAAATAAGTTACAGTTTACATAATGTCTTCCCCGTCAGGGACCATCCCAGAGTAAGCCACAGTATACATAATGTCTTCCCTGTCAGGGACCGTCTCTAAATAAGTTACATTTTACATAATGTCTTCCCTGTCAGGGGCCGTCTCAGAGTAAACTACAGTATACATAATGTCTTTCCTGTAAGGGACCGTCTCTAAATAAGTTACAGTTTACATAATGTCTTCCCCGTCAGGGACCATCCCAGAGTAAGCCACAGTATACAAAATGTCTTCCCTGTCAGGGACCGTCTCAGGGTAAGCCACATTATACACAATGTCTTCCCCGTCAGGGACCATCCCAGAGTAAGCCACAGTATACATAATGTCTTCCCTGTCAGGGACCGTCTCTAAATATGTTACATTTTACATAATGTCTTCCCTGTCAGGGACCGTCTCTAAATAAGTTACATTTTACATAATATCATTCATGTCAGGGACCGTCTCAGGGTAAGCCACATTATACACAATGTCTTTCCCGTTAGGGACCGTCTCAGAGTAAGCCACATTACACATACTGTCTTCCCTGTCAGGGACCGTCTCTAAATAAGTTACATTTTACATAACGTCTTTCCCGTCAGGGACCATCCCAGAGTAAGCCACAGTATACGTAATGTCTTTCCCGTCAGGGACCATCTGAGGGTAGATTACAATCTACACACTGTCTTTCCTGTCAGAGACCATCTCAGAGAAAGTTACAAAAAAATGTAGGCGTTATATAATTTATATGTCATATTTTGGTTTTCTGGTTTTCATAAATCACACATTGTATTCACCACGTGTTGTGAACATAACGACAGGCAAGTATGCCAGGTGCCCGCTTGATTCGTACCTAGATGTCCCTCTTCAAGACAAAGAGAAGATCATGGTGCTGCAATTAAAACGTTTCAATACATCATCCACGGCGACTGAGCTCCTACTGACACATTTCCACATTCGACTGCTGTACTCGACCATAAAACTGTCACGCCAGGGCGGGGAGACAGTGGCAGCCTCGAGACTGCTCGCCTGACTGCCGGACTAACATACACCCCAAGGGATTAGAATTATAGATAAATATCAAAATGACTTTAATATTTTCACGCATATCAGGTACACTGATCTAGGTCCGTGTACCAAGCAGAACTCGGGGGAAATGCTCGGTCTCTTATGGAGGTCTATATAATGTGGCATTTAGTCCCTGGCTGTTTCAAGTTTATAACGCCTTTATATCATCATCATAATAATACGCTTATGATTTCATGTCTTATTAGTTTCGCCAGCAAGTACTCTGGGCGTCCAAAACTGCCTTTAGCATGGCCCGTGATGATCGAGGCAGATCGACTGAAGGTCAAACTATCAAGAGAGGCCTCTCTCAAAATAAAAAGAAGGTATGAACTATTTTTAAACTGTAAGTAAACTGTTCGATTTGTAACATACATATACAGTTCATGTAATATGAGGTCCTGTGTGCGAGGAGTCAGTCACCACACAACACAGAGCTCCCATGTCCTGAGACTACATTTGCATGAAAGGAGAGTTTCAAGCTACAGCTGCCTGTTGCTGTACCAACTAGTGTCAGTTATGTCAGGTGGCTCCGTAGAATCCTGTCATTATTATAAAAGTCTTTGTAACAAAAGTATGACAAGAATATTTACAAGCAGTCATTCTGAGAATTAGCACCCATAACGTCCCTTATCAGGTACGTGATTCTTATAATGATATCGCCATGAATATATTTCCTTCAAGAACAAACGGCCCTTAACCTGAGACAAGAATGAGCCGACTTATTCCATATATTTCCACGATTGTACCGAGTCACAGTGATGCTGACTTGACTATTATACTGGCTGACATGTGCAGGCCTTTTGAGACAGATGCTGGCATTTATTGGTTCAACTTCCTATGGTATTCTGGACATGGATGTCCAGTAGTTCTGGGTGGCACTACTGCTAGGATGGGTGTCACTACTGCTAGGATGGGTGGCACTACTGCTAGGATGGGTGGCACTACTGCTAGGATGGGTATCACTACTGCTAGGATGGGTGTCACTACTGCTAGGATGGGTATCACTACTGCTAGGATGGGTATCACTACTGCTAGGATGGGTGTCACTACTGCTAGGATGGGTGGCACTACTGCTAGGATGGGTATCACTACTGCTAGGATGGGTGTCACTACTGCTAGGATGGGTGTCACTACTGCTAGGATGGGTGTCACTACTGCTAGGATGGGTGGCACTACTGCTAGGATGGGTATCACTACTGCTAGGATGGGTGGCACTACTGCTAGGATGGGTGTCACTACTGCTAGGATGGGGTATCACTACTGCTAGGATGGGTGGCACTACTGCTAGGATGGGTGTCACTACTGCTAGGATGGGTATCACTACTGCTAGGATGGGTGTCACTACTGCTAGGATGGGTATCACTACTGCTAGGATGGGTATCACTACTGCTAGGATGGGTGTCACTACTGCTAGGATGGGTGGCACTACTGCTAGGATGGGTGGCACTACTGCTAGGATGGGTATCACTACTGCTAGGATGGGTGTCACTACTGCTAGGATGGGTGGCACTACTGCTAGGATGGGTATCACTACTGCTAGGATGGGTATCACTACTGCTAGGATGGGTGTCACTACTGCTAGGATGGGTGGCACTACTGCTAGGATGGGTATCACTACTGCTAGGATGGGTGTCACTACTGCTAGGATGGGTGTCACTACTGCTAGGATGGGTATCACTACTGCTAGGATGGGTGTCACTACTGCTAGGATGGGTGGCACTACTGCTAGGATGGGTGGCACTACTGCTAGGATGGGGTGTCACTACTGCTAGGATGGGTGTCACTACTGCTAGGATGGGTGGCACTACTGCTAGGATGGGTATCACTACTGCTAGGATGGGTGTCACTACTGCTAGGATGGGTGGCACTACTGCTAGGATGGGTGGCACTACTGCTAGGATGGGTGGCACTACTGCTAGGATGGGTGGCACTACTGCTAGGATGGGTGGCACTACTGCTAGGATGGGGTGTCACTACTGCTAGGATGGGTGTCACTACTGCTAGGATGGGTATCACTACTGCTAGGATGGGTGTCACTACTGCTAGGATGGGTGGCACTACTGCTAGGATGGGGTGTCACTACTGCTAGGATGGGTGTCACTACTGCTAGGATGGGTATCACTACTGCTAGGATGGGTGTCACTACTGCTAGGATGGGTGTCACTACTGCTAGGATGGGATGGGTGGCACTACTGCTAGGATGGGTGGCACTACTGCTAGGGTGGGTGGCACTACTGCTAGGATGGGTGGCATTAATGCTAGGATGGGTGGCACTACTGCTAGGATGGGTGGCACTACTGCTAGGATGGGTGGCACTACTGCTAGGATGGGATGGGTGGCACTACTGCTAGGATGGGTGGCACTACTGCTAGGGTGGGTGGCACTACTGCTAGGATGGGTGGCATTAATGCTAGGATGGGTGGCACTACTGCTAGGATGGGTGGCACTACTGCCAGGATAGGTATCACTACTGCTGGGATGGGTATCACTACTGCTAGGATGGGTGGCACTACTGCTAGGATGGGTGGCACTACTGCAAGGATGGGTGGCACTACTGCTAGGATGGGGTGGGTGGCACTACTGCTAGGATGGGTATCACTACTGCTAGGATGGGTGGCACTACTGCTAGGATGGGTGGCACTACTGCTAGGATGGGTGGCACTACTGCTAGGATGGGGTGGGTGGCACTACTGCTAGGATGGGTGTCACTACTGCTAGGATGGGTATCACTACTGCTAGGATGGGTGTCACTACTGCTAGGATGGGGTGGGTGGCACTACTGCTAGGATGGGTGTCACTACTGCTAGGATGGGTGGCACTACTGCTAGGATGGGTGGCACTACTGCTAGGATGGATATCACTACTGCTAGGATGGGGTGGGTGGCACTACTGCTAGGATGGGTATCACTACTGCTAGGATGGGTATCACTACTGCTAGGATGGGTGGCACTACTGCTAGGATGGGGTGGGTGGCACTACTGCTAGGATGGGTGTCACTACTGCTAGGATGGGTGGCACTACTGCTAGGATGGGTGGCACTACTGCTAGGATGGGATGGGTGGCACTACTGCTAGGATGGGTGGCACTACTGCTAGGATGGGTGTCACTACTGCTAGGATGGGTGGCACTACTGCTAGGATGGGTGGCACTACTGCTAGGATGGGATGGGTGGCACTACTGCTAGGATGGGTGGCACTACTGCTAGGATGGGATGGGTGGCACTACTGCTAGGATGGGTGGCAGTACTGCCAGGATAGGTATCACTACTGCTAGGATGGGTGGCAGTACTGCTAGGACGGGTGTCACTACTGCTAGGATGGGTGGCACTACTGCTAGGATGGGTGGCAGTACTGCTAGGACGGGTGTCACTACTGCTAGGATGGGTGTCACTACTGCTAGGATGGGTGGCACTTCTGCTAGGATGGGTGTCACTACTGCTAGGATGGGTGTCACTACTGCTAGGATGGGTGGCACTACTGCTTGGATGGGTGGCACTACTGCTAGGATGGGTGGCACTACTGCTAGGACGGGTGGCAGTACTGCTAGGACGGGTGTCACTACTGCTAGGATGGGTGTCACTACTGCTAGGATGGGTGGCACTACTGCTTGGATGGGTGGCACTACTGCTAGGATGGGTGGCACTACTGCTGGGATGGGTGGCACTACTGCTTGGATGGGTGGCACTACTGCTAGGATGGGTGGCACTACTGCTAGGATGGGTGGCACTACTGCTAGGATGGGTGGCACTACTGCTAGGATGGGTGGCACTACTGCTAGGATGGGGTGTCACTACTGCTAGGATGGGTGTCACTACTGCTAGGATGGGTAGCACTACTGCTAGGATGGGTGGCACTACTGCTAGGATGGGTATCACTACTGCTAGGATGGGTATCACTAATGCTAGGATGGGTGTCACTACTGCTAGGATGGGTGGCACTACTGCTAGGATGGGTGGCACTACTGCTAGGATGGGTGTCACTACTGCTAGGATGGGTGGCACTACTGCTAGGATGGGTGGCACTACTGCTAGGATGGGGTGTCACTACTGCTAGGATGGGTGTCACTACTGCTAGGATGGGTATCACTACTGCTAGGATGGGTGTCACTACTGCTAGGATGGGTGGCACTACTGCTAGGATGGGGTGTCACTACTGCTAGGATGGGTGGCACTACTGCTAGGATGGGTGTCACTACTGCTAGGATGGGTGTCACTACTGCTAGGATGGGTGTCACTACTGCTAGGATGGGTGGCACTACTGCTAGGATGGGTGGCACTACTGCTAGGATGGGTGGCACTACTGCTAGGATGGGTAGCACTACTGCTAGGATGGGTATCACTACTGCTAGGATGGGTGTCACTACTGCTAGGATGGGTGGCACTACTGCTAGGATGGGTATCACTACTGCTAGGATGGGTGTCACTACTGCTAGGATGGGTGGCACTACTGCTAGGATGGGTGGCACTACTGCTAGGATGGGTGGCACTACTGCTAGGATGGGTGTCACTACTGCTAGGATGGGTGTCACTACTGCTAGGATGGGTGTCACTACTGCTAGGATGGGTATCACTACTGCTAGGATGGGTGTCACTACTGCTAGGATGGGTGGCACTACTGCTAGGATGGGTAGCACTACTGCTAGGATGGGTGTCACTACTGCTAGGATGGGTGGCACTACTGCTAGGATGGGTAGCACTACTGCTAGGATGGGTATCACTACTGCTAGGATGGGTGTCACTACTGCTAGGATGGGTGGCACTACTGCTAGGATGGGTATCACTACTGCTAGGATGGGTGTCACTACTGCTAGGATGGGTGGCACTACTGCTAGGATGGGTAGCACTACTGCTAGGATGGGTATCACTACTGCTAGGATGGGTGTCACTACTGCTAGGATGGGTGGCACTACTGCTAGGATGGGTATCACTACTGCTAGGATGGGTGTCACTACTGCTAGGATGGGTGGCACTACTGCTAGGATGGGTGTCACTACTGCTAGGATGGGTGTCACTACTGCTAGGATGGGTGGCACTACTGCTAGGATGGGTATCACTACTGCTAGGATGGGTAGCACTACTGCTAGGATGGGTATCACTACTGCTAGGATGGGTGTCACTACTGCTAGGATGGGTGGCACTACTGCTAGGATGGGTATCACTACTGCTAGGATGGGTGTCACTACTGCTAGGATGGGTGTCACTACTGCTAGGATGGGTATCACTACTGCTAGGATGGGTGTCACTACTGCTAGGATGGGTGGCACTACTGCTAGGATGGGTGTCACTACTGCTAGGATGGGTAGCACTACTGCTAGGATGGGTATC